CCCGCTGTCCGGCTAGAGCACCTGGGAGGGCTTTGGCAGTGCCCTGGTGCAGGGAAAGGAGCTGGGCTGGGCACGGGGTGTGGTGTGGGATGGGGATGCCCTGCTGTCCCCCAGGTGTGTTTTTGTGACTATAAAGTGTGTTTTCCTCTTCAGTCTCCCAAGAAGGTGGGTGATGACATTGCCAAGGCCACAGGGGACTGGAAGGGGCTGAGGATCACGGTGAAGCTCACCATCCAGAACAGGCAAGCGCAGGTACTGAACGCCATAAGGGATGGCTCAGTGGTGCAAGCGTCGAGCGGAAACGAGCTCTGCTTGCTGGAACCACGAGCTGAAATCCCGGCAGGGTCGACTCAGCCCTTCATCCTTCCGAGGTGGATAAAATGAGTGCCACACAGTGAACTGTGTGGGGTCTTCTGGGAAAGACCTCAAAATACCTGCGTGAGCCTTCTGAGCACCTTTGGCTCACGCCTGGCAGCAGTTTTGTATGTGTGTTTGCGGCCTGGGACTTGCCAGGCTGAAGGCTCCCAGCCTGTGAGCCATGGGGAGAGATTTGCTTGTGTGCCAAAGTTGATCTTTTATTCTGTTGCAGATAAATTGTTCCTTCTACAGAACATCTCATCAGCAAAAGCTGTGTCAAGGAACACAGAAGTTACAAACCTCTCCTTAGCTAGTCCTGTAGCCACCCGCCACTATACCTGTCCTGAATCCCGTGGCTGGTATATTCCAGTGGTGAGCTGAGAGGAAACACCAGTCAGGAAGCAGTCCTCCTCTGCTCATGGGGAGGCCTGTGCCGAAAGGCTGGGAACAAGTGTCTGCATCACAAAAAAACCTGTCCTAGCAAAGTAACTGAAAATGCAGTGCTTGGGCAGTTAGCTTTCCAGGCACTGATGGTTTCATTGAGTGTTCACTGGCTACCTAATTGTGCTGGGAGGAGGGGAAGAATTAATCTCTTTTTATTTAGATTGAGGTTGTTCCTTCTGCCTCTGCTCTGATTATCAAAGCTTTGAAGGAGCCTCCTCGTGACAGAAAGAAGCAGAAAAACAGTAAGTTTCCTTTCTTTTCAGGCTTTAGTTCTGAATGTGATTTGGTGCTAAAGGGGAAATCAGTATAGAGTTACTCTTCTTGGGGGGGGTGGCTTTGTGTTGCAGTCTGGGAACAGGCGTGCTGATCACAGCCCTGCTGGAGTTGTAAAAACTCTGGTTTCTGTGTTTGAGTGCTGGGAATGGCGATTCTCTAATGGGGGATGGGGAACTGGAAGTGTCCTGTGTTGATGTGAACTTACTGGTGCTATTGCTTTCCTTCCCAGTTAAGCACAGTGGCAGCGTCAGCTTTGATGAGATTGTGAACATTGCGCGCCAGATGCGGCACAGATCCCTGGCCCGGGAGCTCTCGGGTGAGTGCTGTTGGGATGTCACAGAGTCCCCCTCCCCTGCGCTCAGGGCTGAGCCAGGCTCTGCTCTGACTCCTGGGAGGGCCCCACAGCTGTGGGGTGGTGCTGGAGCTCCTTGTGTGGCTCAGGTGCTGAGCACCACAGAACAGCCCTGTGCTGGCTGTGAGACAGCCTCTTACCTTCTGCTGAAAGTGCTGTGGGGTGGTGAGAGGTACACGTGGCGCTTCCTGGTGCGTTCCCTGGAAACCAGTACACTAGGCCTGGCTTAACTGTCTTGCTGTCCCCTGGGGACCCCATGGCTACAGCCTGCAGACCGCAGAGGGAGGGAGGGGCGGCTGGGGGGTGTGAAGAGTTGAGTTCTCTGTGTTCAAAGTTTTTCCCCGTGGTAAAGTGCTGACAAGCTGCATCTTCCCGCTGCAGGGACGATCAAGGAGATTCTTGGAACTGCCCAGTCTGTGGGCTGCAGCATCGATGGCAGGCACCCGCATGATATCATCGATGACATCAATAATGGTGCCATAGAGTGCCCAGCTGTAAGTATCCTTCTCTGACGGAAATATTCTGCATGAGACTAGTTACTAACAGACTCTACTAATGAGTTGTTTGCTTCTTCCAACAGAGCTGAGACTGCAGAGAAGTTGCTATATGAACGTGGCTTCAGTTTAATAAAAGACCCAGCTGTCTGCACACAGTGGTGCTGCCTCTGTTTGTCCCTGTCCCATGCTGCAGGAATAATGGGGTTTGGCCGGGGTCCACCTGCCCTCTGCATCAACCCAGGTGATGGCTTTCACACAGCCTTCTAAGCCAGAAGGTGCTCATTTCCCACTTGCTGCTCTGAAATCACCTGCTCGCAGCAACACAGGTGGAGTTGCTTCAAGGCAGCGCTCCAAATGCTGTGAAGAGCAAACAGTGCTCCTGGTGACCTGTGTGAAGCTTTCTGTGACCTCTGCTACAGCGAGCAGGACTCAAGTGGTGTGCGCTGCAGGAGCTGGGGCAGGGAAAAAGTAGTTCTGCTACTGCTTGTAGGGGTGTGTAGGGGAGAGTACAGTATACATGCTAGCTGGGCTGCTACAGCTGATTGAACGGGGTCTGGATTATTGGCAAGAACCTGCCCCAGTCCTCTGTAGGAAGAAGCCAGTGCAGCAGGGGGGTGAAGCTGGCTGCCGGAGGGAATTTGCTGCTGGGTCAGACACGTGCTAAATGAGCTGGAGACTCTGTGAAGAGGAGAATCTCAGCCTCCAAATAAATCCCAACCCAAACTTGAGCGAGAGGAGGTGTGCACCTTGTAGTGGTTATTTCTAGAGTATGTGCGTGCAAGTACTGGGTTACTTGCTGGTACACCAGGCACTGCAGTTCCTGAGCTGAAGGCTGCTTGGATGCAGAGTGTTTGTGAGCTGGTTTGGTGAAACTAAACCTTTGTCTTCGCTCCAGCTTAAGCCAGGAGCATGGCTTGGGCTGAGTGTTCAGTGCACGCAGCGGAGTCATTGCAGAGGAACTTGCCTCGTACTGCTTGTGAAGCTTAAAATGTGCATTGGGCTGGCAGTGGGATCTTCAGAATCCCCTGTGTTTGCAGATGGTTTAACACCCGACTGCTCCTCGGCTCTGCTGCTGCTAGAGGCCCTCCCTGTGAAGCAGGTACAACTTGAAGGCGAGCCTGGGCTGGGAGAAGTCTCCAGACCTGATCCAGATCGCTGGCTCAGCGTGGAGGCCCAGAGCACGTCTGTTTCGCCACGGTGCTGCTGTCTGCAGTGTTTAATGAAGCACCAGCTCTAATTGTGCCTTGTGCTCGCAGGCGGAGGGGACACACGGCAGCTCCGGGGAGCTGCAGGGTGGTTGGAGCAGGCTGGGCTGGTGGGGGGG